ATAATTATAATAATACATTCACTCTATATTTTCTCGATTAAATCTTTATTTTATTTAATAAAAACATAATTATATAAGTGTACGTGGTCGAATGGAGTTGAGATAAAAGTTTCCAAAAAATTCGATCAATCTTCCTAAATTCAAGCCACATGATGGATAAAATATCCAGGTCAGACTCTAATTTACTAAAAATTTAATTCGACTAAACTCATATCCATCCCTAATATAAATTAATAAAAATCAATTTAGATCAATTTTTCCCTTAAGACTCGATTCGTTTTTTTTTAAAAAAAAATAGGAGTAAACATACGGTCATTGAACTTTTCAGATGTTTGTATTTAGGTCCCCCAACTTTTACAACTTGTAATACAGTCACCAAATATTTAGTTTGTTTGCATTATGGTCCACGATGTAACTGCCGTTAGTGTAAATTATATAAATGGTCACTAACTTTTTAGGCGCTTGTATTTAGGTCCCCAACTTTTAAAATTTACAAAAATCATCAATTACATCCTAAACCCCAAATTCTAAAATTCTTCAATTACATTCTAAACCTCAAATTCTAAAATACTTCAATTACATGCCCAACCCCAAATTCATAATTCATTCTCAAAATATACCATAACAAACTAAACTTAAAGCATCAACCCTAAACCCTCAAAACATAACCCTAAATGCTAAATTTTCCCATCAATTAACCCAACATAATCAACAACATTTAGTTCATTTTGGGTCTATAACAATAAGTGATTATGTTGGGTTTAAGATTTAAAAGTTATATTTAACCAACTCTAGGTGAACAATACTCAATTCGAATCGAAAAAATTATTTTTGACTTGAATTTATTCAAAAAAATTGATACAAATTGGCTTTGAGTTGTAATTTCATAAACTCAACTTAAAAAAATTCAAGTTAAAATCTATCTCAAATTTTTTTGTAATTAGTGAATTAATTTTTAAGTTTGAGTCAAGTTCCTTGACTCTGTATAATATATGTATACCACATATGAAAAAATATGAAGAAATATATAATTTGTATATGATTAAAAACCTATTTAAATTAAAATCGAATAATATTACAGTATTATAAATATTTATAATTAAATTTAAATAGAAACTCGAAAACTCAATTAAATTTAACTTGATTTAAATTTTATAAACTCAAATAAAAAAACTTTAGTCAACTATTTTATAAATTGAATTGAGTATTTAAGTCCAACATAACCCTAAACCCAACATAATCACTTATTGTTCACTTATAGTTGATTATTTTTTCCGAAACGATTATGTTTTGAGGGTTTAAGATCACTGCTTCAAGTTCAGTTTGTTATGACAGATTTTGATAATGGATTATGAATTTGAGGTTGGGCATATAATTGAAGTATTTTGGAATTTGAGGTTTAAAATATAATTGAAGTATTTTGGAATTTGGGGTTTAAGATGTAATTGATGATTGTGTTGTAAGTTTTAAAAGTTGGGGACTTAAATGCAAATGCCTGAAAAGTTTAGTGATTATTTATATAATTTACCCTAACGGAAGTGAAACATCTGTTATGTCGGAAATCATATTGCAAATGAACTAAATGTTTGGTGACTGTATTTCAAGTTTTAAAAGTTAGGGACTTAAATGCAAGTATCTGAAAAATTTAGTGACCATTTGTTTACTTTACCCAAAAATATTACAAATTAATTATATTTTTTTAATAAAAATAGACCCGAACCGAATTATTATCAAAGGTGGTAGAAAAGAGATGAACAAAATGATTACCTAAATCCAGGTCTCCCTTGGCCAGAGAGCTCATCGAAGATAGCCATGGAAGAGGCAAAGAAATCCGGTCCACTCACTCTAAAGCTCTCGAAGTAAGGAGAAGCAATGAACCGGGGAGAGTACGTTTTCAGACACAACGACGGACCGAGCTTGAGCTTGGTGTCGGAACGAAGGCAGAACACATCGTCCGAGAATTCCCGAATCTTGGTAAACAGATTCTGTGGAATCCCATGGTTGGTGACGTAAAAGAAACCCCATTCCTCACAGGCTTTTAACAGGAAGATGAAAAAGAAGACGACAAAGACGATACGCTAAGATCAAGTACTGGGAGCTTTAAAGAATCTTCAAGTTCAAACATTTTTATTATTATTTAAAAAACCATAGACAAGACAAGACAAGATCCTGGGCAGTTTCTGGAATGGTAGGGTTGTTAGATATAGGGTTATAGGGACGATGAATGTGCTTTTGTGGATAAACACTGCGGCACATTAGGGTAAATGATTGCGTTGATTAAAGAGGAAAGGGACATTGATTAAACACCATTCATTAATTGTTGTAATGAAATGATGATAATGGGGAAAAGATAGAGTTAACTGGACCTGCCATCCTTAATTATGGGAAGTCCCGACAGTTTTAAGATACGATTAAAAAAATACGTTATTAATTTTATTATAAATTTTTAAATTTTTTTATAAAAAATTACTTAAAATATTATTTTTTTAACGATTTTGTTATTATTGGACATTTTACCGGAAATGTTAAAAAATATTAATATTTTATATAGAAATAATAATGTTTTAGATAATTTTTTTACCGGAAATATAAAAAAATAATAACAAAACTGATAGTGTATTTTCTTAACCGTATATTAAGGTTGTCGCATTGTAGAAGTTGTCATTACTTATAGTTCAAATTCTAAATTATATGTAAATTTTAAAATATTTTGGGTAAATTATATGTTTAATAGTTAAACTATCAGTTTTGGTAATTAAGTTTTAATACCTAAATTTTTATATTTTTTAAAGCATACACAATGTTTAGTTTTTATTTTATTTTAGTACCCGTATTTAAGAACTTAACGGACATGATGATGTGGCACAATTTTGGTGGATGGACAACTAATTCGAACGATGGACCACAAGAGAATGGTGAGTCGACCAACATAGTTCAGTTTTAAGCCCATCGGACGGTGAACCAAGGAGATCAGAGATGAAGAAATCGAAGAATCTATCGTCATTTTGGGGAGATTGAGGCGTTTTCCAATGAAACAGAGGTCGAAATCCCGTTCAAGGGGTCAAAAAAATGTGAACTATAAAGTTTGGGCTTCATTAACCGATGGATATGATGGCAGACGACTGTAGACGTGGCGATCAACGAGTTCATCTGTTAAGTTTTTAATGAAGGAGTACTAAAATGAAACAAAAGCTAAACATTAGGTACGATTTAAAAAAAATGAAAGTTTAGGTACTAAGATAGACAAAACTGATATTTTAGATACTAAACATGTAGTTTACCCCAAATATTTTAATCCGGTTTTTAAATTATCAATGTTATTTTAAAGTTTAACAAACTCTTTTAACATTAAATGTCAACTTGGCTATGTTAAGATGCATATTTAAAATATATGTATCAAATTTTAGACATTTTATATCACTGTATGAAAACTTGAATATGATTTATTTAAAAATAAAGATGTGAAATTTTTATACGATAAGTTTAAATTGTTTATGTAATATATGTAAATGTATTTAAAATTTGATCCATAAATTTAAGTATGTTCTACGTTGACTCTAAATTGACATTTAGTGCTCAAATAATGTCTTAAACTAACAAAATGACTAATATAATTTGATATTGATAATTTGAAGATCAGTTTAAAATATTTTAAAATTTATAGACTAATATAAAATCTTGTCATAATTAGATTTATAGTTTTAAAAAGAAAGTGGTGATAGTGTTTATGCAATTTTAGTATTTTCTAAAGTATTTTCTTCTTGTTTTTAAAGAAATTTTATACATTTTAGTTGTATTTATGCCGACCCATGACCATTCCTAGGCTAGGGCTTGATAGTCGAATCTAAACGTACCCAGCCCAAGCTTCTTCTTTTTTTGGTTCACAGATGATACTAACATACTATTTCCATGGAATTCTTACGTTAAACTTTGGGAGAAAAGGTTTGAAGAAATCTTCATTCCTTTCTTACAAAAAAAAAAGAACAGTAATTGTTTGGAAAATAGTTGTGGTGACAGGCCGCAAGCAGGGCAAAACTTTCGAGATAATATTCTGAAAGAAATTAATTCACGAGCTAATGCACTCCCAAGATTAATTGCTCAAATAAGGTGAAATCCACAGTGTTAGCCACTCCTGGCGACCTTATAGGTCGCCATGCACTCCGGGCGACCTACCTTGCTCAGACGTCCACACGTCCAACACATAGTCGCCATGCCCTCCGGGACCTTGTAGGTCGCATGCCCTCCGGGCGACCTACCTCGCTCGGCTTCCCTCGGATTCTCTCGCATAGCTCGCTCGGTTGCCCTCGGATGCCCTCGCATAGCTCGTTCGGATAGCCTCGGTTGGATGGCCTCGGATGCTCTCGGATGGCCTCGGTCGGATGGCCTCAGATGCCCAGCGTGTTGGGACGTGCATGGCACATGCAATCTCTTGTAGCTCGCCGGAAGACATACCTAGTAGTCGCCGGAAGACATGACCTAGTAGGTCGCCCGAAAGGCGACCTAGTAGCGCCCGACATGGCGACCTACGGCCAACACTGTAGATTTCACCTTATTTGAGCAATTAATTTTAGGAGTAATTTATCTCGTGAATTAATTTTTTTCAAAACATTATTTTGAAAGTTTTGCCCCCACAAGCAGTGTCGAACGTGTTTATTTCGACGTTTTGAGTGGCTATTATTCTTCCTCTACAGTGGCGAAAATGGCAGGTTGATGGTGGAGGGTGCAATGCCAGTGCTTGTCAGTACTGCAACTTCTTATCAGTTTCAACACTTTTTCTTCTGCAGCTCTGTCAGAAACCTAACACATCAGAACAACAAAATCATCCTAAGATTTCGTAGTGTACTAAAGGAATCTACGCGCAGATCCAAGGATTTTTGCTTTTACCCAGGATTTTTAGTACATTTTCTTGTGTGGCCATGGAGATTCCCAATGGTAAAAGCTTTAATCCATGCAAAATCACAAAGGGTAGAATCCATAAGCAGAAACATTTTTCTCTTCTTGGTCTTAAAACAGAGGATGGATGTTTTGAAATATCAAAGCGACGGTTGATTTAATTTACACAACATACATGGAAAATAGACAGAAACAAAGGGGTTGGTAGGGCCCCCACGGTTTCTCTGTCAAGTTCAAATTTTCCTGGAGCTGAATATCAATATACAACACAGACAATTTCACTAGTGAAAAGGGCTATCTTATGCTGCCCTAAGGATCGGCTTTCCCTGCGATTTCCTCGTCATCGGAGGCGGCGTATTCGTCTTCGCTCAACTCTTCATCACTGGACTTGTCCTCTGCCTTTGCTCCAATGTCTTCTGGCTTAGCATATTTCTCACAATATTCTGGATAATCAACAAAAAGGGTCATTAGCATTGCAACAATGATTGGCATTCTTAAACAGACATCGAAAGGCCAAAAACCGACGAATGTTTCTGCAGAGAGAACAATATTTGCAATGCCGGTAAACAGCTTGGCCAATCGATACACCTGCTGTTGCATTATCTCTTACTAAAAATCTTTCTGCTTTGTTCAATCAAGAACACCTCGATGTTGACAGAAAACATATTATTTTCCTCAAAATCAAAACATGAAGGGAATCAAAGATTTTCTGATTTCAAATTACTTTAGGCCATGTATTTACCGTAACCTACCTCCAAGCTTGCAGAAGATGACATGAAATTATTGTTACACGGTCAACAAAAGTTCCAATTTGTGTGGAAATGATTCTAAAGTAACTTGCAGGTAACTAAAACCACCGCATAGAAACAAAACCAGCTAACTTGAAAAGAAAAGTGAATGATACACAGGTATATCAGTCAACTGGGACGAACAGAAACGAAAAAAAAGGATCGGAGTAGTAGGACAATAACAAGAAAATGTTGTAAAGAAAGAGCAGAACAATGAGATGTTGGTACAGGACTAGTACCATCGTCAACCTTCTCACCTACATGGAATAAACCATGAAAATATAAAAAATTATAATGCCAAGGCATTCAGAAATTAATTCATACTAATGAGGAAGCTCAAGATTGGAGTTGCTAGCGGTGATTATTCAATTGGTGATTATTCAATTGAGACGAGTGGAAATTTTTTGCATATTCAGAAACTAGTGCTACATGGATTCTACAGTGGTTGAGGAACATGCGGTTCAAGTTTGGTAAAAAATGAATTTACAGCTAGTAAGGAAATAAAAAAAAACAAGATAATCAAGGACCAAATCATAAAACAATCAAATTACTTGGCCAAAGCTAAAGACCAAAAACGACGTAGTTTTAATATTCAGTGTTTCAATTATTTGAACTTTTGAAATTCAAGTAGACTCAACTCAAATCTGAACTACTAATTCGAGTTGATTCGAATAACTTGAAATTCAATAAGATCGATTTTTTCGAGTCGAATCAAGTTTTGGTCACCCCTAGGTGTTGCAAACTTTAGACTAGTGATAAAGTTGTTGTCCTATGTTGCTTCAACTCTTCATTTTGCTTAAATTACCCATGTCCACGGCATGTTCAGACATGGTTGCGAGGACATGACATACAAAAGAACCTCTAAAATACATAGAAAAACTTGAAAAAGAATTGAACATATAGGTGTAAAATACATACCCACAACCGTTGCCTATTACCAAGTCCAAGTAACATAGTTGTTAACAACTCCATAACATGAGGTAAAAAGCATACGCATAAAAACAATTTCCATGCTCCCAACATATGAGATTTAAGACCTCATTTGATTTCTTTCGAAAACACGGGTAGCCAATAAAAATTCTTGTAAGCACCCTGCTGCCTTACTTCATTGGCTTTAGGAAAGCAGGAAATCCAGACCATTACTTTTGAGCTAGGCATTCAAAGAAAAGCTTAAACAACACATAAAAGGTCATGCAAAAAAAGCTCACCTTTAACTCTTTGGTCATAGGCAGCACGGTCGCGCATCATAAGTGCAGCAGCTTCTCCATTCAGCGGGTCCGATGGGTTTGGATACAAAAGAAGTTGAGGAAGGAACACTTCAAACACATTCACCAGATCTGAATTCGATTGCCAAGTTCAAGCGTAATATCAGCATCATTAAAGCAACAAAGAATTCGGAAATCGAACATCGTGCCGCACTCACCGAACATGGGGCTCCAAGTCTGGTTGATGACATCTAAGCAAACTGAACCAGACCTGAAACTCATTGTTCAAAGATATCATAAATCATAATAGATCATTCACTAGTAAAAAAAAAAGTTACCCATTCTAAAATTACCTCAAAGAAGTTAATACTACCTCTAAGAGAGTAAAATCAGACTAAGTTAGAACATTTTAACATCCAAAAACCTTACATTTCATCAACATTTGGGTGGTAGATCTTGTTTATAAAGCCAATCGATGGAGATTTATAAGGATAAGCATCTGGCAGCTCCACCCTAATCTTCCACACACCACCGAGGTAAGGACCTAGAACCAAAACCTCGTCCTCTTTCAGAAGGTTCAAAGAACAAAAACGCTAAGAAACACGAACATACAGATAAAAACTAATCTCCAAGCTTCAAAATCATCAAAATAGAGAAGCCCAACAACAATAATCACACGGTCAACATACTTCCAAGAGAAAAAAAGAAGATAACTTCTGAGATAAATAAGACGGAATCGAAATTTGAGCAGAAAGTAAACAGATAGATCGTGGAAATAAATGAAGAATTAAAGAACAAGAGGAAGAGGAAGAGGGGTTAAAGAAGACGATTTTTTACTGTCTTTTGGTCCATTGAATTCAACATAAAATTCCTGCATGCCATCATTGATCATCTCGACCTTGTAGTCACTCATCATCCTAGAGAAAAAATCAATCCAGCAAAAAAAAATTTTAAAAAAAATCAACACAAAAAACAAAGATAATACAACGAATTTCTTTTAGATGTAATTTGGGTCAGAAACAATAAATCATTACAGTTTCATCAGGTCCATCTCTCGGCGTTTGCTTGGAGAAGACATCTTTGTTTGGGGATACTTTGGAGAGGAAAAATAAGGAGAAAAACTGAGATTTCTTCACAAGCAAAAGCAACCCCAGAAAAGTTGTACAAGCATCAATGAAGTGAATCCAGGAGCTTATATATATGTGCAGCCACCGCAGTACTTTTACCCTCCAGTGACTTCTTATTTTTACTTTTACCAAGACTGTAAATTTTGTTGAAATTCTTAGCCTCAACTATTTTTTTTCCTTTTCATTACTCTTTTTCATTGAAATTTACTAAAATTAGTAAAAAGTCAATAGAATTATTTTATATTATACACGAATATCTTTTATCTCTATTTAAATTTTATACATATACAAGATTTAATTACACTATGTAAAATTATTTAAGTTTTACATCTTTTTAGGATCATTAGTTGAGAGAAATTAAAAGTTGAAATTAACAGAAAAAATGAAAAAATATTCACTGAAAAAAATAAAGAGTTAATCTCAGCTTTTGAATTTCTTCGATCCAATCATCGTGAAGATGTGTAAAACTATCAGAGTTTTACACAGTATAAGACGATAAAATTTTATTCCTATCTTTTTTACTAAATTTGGAAGTGGTTATATTTTTCATTTATTTATGGTATATATAGTTAAATATATATATTAGATGATTGATTTTGAGATTTATCATATAATTAAATTTTATATAATAAGTTTGATATGATATATTGAAATAAGATTTAAGTTCTTAGAATTTTTATTATAAAATTAAAAGGAATAGGGTGGATATCTATCATTGTTGCTCGCCTAAAACAATTAGTGGATTAAAGCTTGCAGCTCTTGCTAAAGTCACCCATCGCCTGACCTACCTTCCATTGTCTTCATAGGCAAAATAATTACAACAATTTCATATTTTATTTATATAAATGTAAAATACTATAATTATAAATAAAAAAAATATAATTACATCATATATTCATAGAGGTATTAGTTCGAGCAACTATTTATAACGTATATATGCGTTGTCAGTGACTAAGAAAAATTCTGAATAAATATTATCTTTTAATCACCTAAATTATTAAAAAACAATGAATTGTATAGTATATCTTTAAATTATGATACTAGTTCTAAATTAGTCCCTAAATGTCTGATCATTCTAATTTCATCATCACACTATAACTATGTTCTAAATCCATCCCTAAATTTTAGAACATTCCAAATTCACAGTCAAACTATGACTTTTGAATCGGTCCCAAACTTTTAAATGTTGCAATAACATACCCAAGATCATTAAAAGTTTGCAATCAGGGTCCTCGCAATCCTCTACCTCTTCTAATTTACACAAAATTATTTGGTTCTCTATTTTATTTTTCCTTTCAAACGCATGGTTTTCTCGGCTTAAAGTTGAGTGCTGAGTTTAGACAATGAAGATGCAGGTAGAACGAGATCCGGCATCATTGTGCTAACTTCTGGTTCCGGAAAATATCCAGTCGGCGTGTCCGCGGTACACCGGAAGAAGACGCAGATGATATAGCCCGTCGTGAAGCACGTTGCCGTCGAGATCGACGAGCTCAATGTCGGCTGCAAACGGAATGGTTTATATGGAATGCAAAAGGAGCATTTACAAACAAAGAGTTGATCTTTACAATTACACTATTTTTTTTCTTCACTTTTTAATCTCTGAAAAGCATATATAACTAAAACTGGTGCTTCCCATAAAGTGAAAGCTTCAGAAGCAGCCATGGCGGTTGAATGGAAACTGATATAAGCTGAAACTGTTTGTAAATGTTCCTTTTGCCACTGTTTCATCTCCCACCCCACGCAATGTCTGACCAAAAATGCTTTTGAAATTAACAAATACGCAAAATTAGGATTAATATATTTTAGGGTAAATTACGCATTTAGTATCTAAACTATTAGTTTTATTCCGTTTTAGTACCTAACTTTCATTTTTTTTCAAAATCATACCTAGGGAAGGAAGGATTTATGATAGGGGTGAACTTGAACTTATAGAATTCGAGGGGCCAAACTTGAACTTATAGAATTCTAGGGGACTAAAACAGATTTTTATTAAAAAATATATAGAATTAATCTAAAATATATAGTAAATTTAAATTTTCAAGGGTGACCAATTTGCCTAGGTCCATCTTTGATCATACCTAACATTTAGTTTTGATCTCATTTTAGTACCTCGTCGCTAAAAATTTAACATGGTTAATAACTAACCTATGAGTTTTGGTCCGTTTTAGAAACTAAAATATCATTTTTTTTATTAATCTAGAGTAAGTACAAGTCAATATATGTTCAAAGATAACTCTTAACCAATATTTGACATTGAACGCTCACATTCCTGACATTACTAGTACTCAAACCGATGACCTCAATGAATAACAACGATTAATTTACAACAGAATACGCTTGATTCGTGCCTTATATTTTAACATCAATAATGACAGAAATGAGGTGTTTGTAACTTTGTACTCATTGATTATTTAAGTTATGATAAGAAAGGGTTCGGTTGAAAAACAAACATTTGAATCGTATATATAAAGTGTAATCTTTTTAATTAATTATTCAACTTTAAAATAATATTAAAATAAGATTTCAAACACATAATTTAATTAAAAATATTAAATATCTATTTTAAGATTCGAGTAAAGGGATTGAACTCGTTTATTTATTGGATAATTAAGCCTAATCGAGTAAATTCCAATAATTCATTATTTAATTCAAAGAAGATGAAGTGAAATAGTACCCCTGTTTGACAGCCGTGTCCATCTCTGGTTGAACATGCAGCTTTCGGAATCTCGGCAGTTTCATCGTTACGCGCGAACCGGCCACGTATACGTGGACGGTTGTCGGCTAGCGTTTTCCGGCATGCATACTTTACATCACCATTGCAAAAGAGAGAACAAACAAATAGAACATATTCAGAACTTCAACGACACAATAAACGGACACAAACCAAACGATTTTAATAAAGACACAAAAAAACAGAGGATTTAAGGTAAAAAAATGATCTGGACCTCGAAATCTCCATTGATCAAGAGATTCGTCATTTTTCCGGCGAAAGAGTTGTTCTCCGGTAAGCTTAAAGTTTGTCCTTGAAAATTCTGTGACGATAAATTTGCTAAATTTTCATCATTGTAAACAGAGCCGGAATCCAGTTTCGATCCTTCGTTTTTCACTTCCGAAGAACTCAAACCGTCGAAATTCTGATACTCTTCTTCTAAATTTGGACGACTCGTCGGAGATTGAAACTGGGTTGTTTGATGAAAGGTGGGACTTTGGTGCAGCTGGTCTGGGTTTTGTGGTTGGTTTCCATTGTTGTTCAACAAAGCTTGAAGATTATAATCAGACGAAGAAGAAGAAGACGAGTCGTAAGGAAGATCGAATGGTAAGTTATAATCAAGCGTTTCCATTTCAGGGACGATGAAGGAAGAGTAATCAGAAACTGAAAGATTATAAGACATTATTAAAGAAAACCCAAACTGAAACAACTTTTGGTTCAAAATCAAAGACAAAAACGCAATGAAAATAGAAGAAAAATAGAGAATTTGGTTGATTTTTGTGTTTGTTATTCTGCAGGAAACGGACGGAACGCAGCACAAAGTGCCACTCTGAGGACCTGAGTTTGTTGAATAGAAAGTGCTCATTACATGGAAGAACACGACAAGAGCCTCGATTTTCAAACACTATACATGTAGGTTAAGATTTAGTGATTGAAGTATGTTTGATTGATTGTTTGAGTAATTAAATTTAATAAATTGTTTATAAGATGTCATTGTATATATTATAAGGTAATGTATGTTCATAATTTCTTTAATCATAGATAACGTACACATATTGAATATGTAATTGCTTGAATCGAGTAACTCTAAGAAAACAACATTTTATTTTACTACTAAGATGAATTTAAGGGTAAAGTATGAATATTACGAATTATATTTGGATGATCATTTTGGTCAGTAAACTTTTAAAGTTACAAAGTGATTATTAAAATTATCAATTATCACATAATGGTCACTACAATGCTATAGTAGTGTAAGATTTTGATAAATTTAGTGATCAATTTATAATAATTTGATAAATTTAATGATTATTTTCAGTTATGATTCTGTAACTTTTAAAAGTTAAATTACTAGAATGATCCTTTGAGTATAGTTTAGTGACCTCTAGTGTACATTTTCCAAATCTAATGATTATTTTATAGTAATTCAATATAGCTAATAAATTATTGATAGTAATTTTTAAAGTTTGGGGATTGAAATAACTATTTGAGTACAGTTTAGTGACCCATGATGCATTTTTTCCAAATTTTAATATTTTTTATTAAACTAAGATGATTACAAAGTAATATCTATTCTAAATAACTTCAACCATTTCACAATAAGCATTCAATCAATCTGTTGCAGACGCTGGTGCTCGAACCCGTAACCTCTAGAACAACAACGATTCCTTTAACCACTGGCAAAGTTGGTTCGTGCCCAAAATTTAATAATTAATTTAAACGATTCAATACAATTTAATAATCAATTTTACAATAACTAATAAATTTAATAACAATATTCAAATTTAATAATTAAAATAACCATTTAAGTATAGTCTATGTAATTTATGTTGTCTATTTATATATGTGCATTATGTACTTGGTTTGAGAACCCGTTTCTACGAGTCACAATGATTCAATTAAATTTAGAATCAAATTAAGTTAAATCCTTTCTAAATTCATCAAATACTTTTAGTAGTAAAAAATAATATTATTATATTTAGAGGTTATGAGTTTGAGTAATCGTTTATATGTTTTGTACGTGTATATTATCAATTAATTTAAGAAAAATATGAATAGATATTTTCTTATAATTATCCCATACTATTAAAAAAAGTTAAATATTTTTCTGAAGATAATCAATAATATATATTTATAATCTTAATTATTGACAACACACGGTAAACAAAGCACTCAAAATTTCTAAAAAAATAAATTTCTTTAATCACTAAAAATACTTAATAAATTCACACTTCCACCAATATTTATCACTTGCTAACAACTTTTGAAGGATATATTTACAATTTATTTATTTATTTTTCATCATAAATAGCATAAGGT